TGGTTCTCTTCCTCACTGCAATAATCATTCAGAATATTCTGCATGTCCACTCTGGCCTGCACTCTTTGATTTCTATTTCAGAGTCTAGGCCTGTATATACCTTTCTGGCATTTTAGCCCACACATATAGTGAAGTGGGGCATGACAGAGAATTCCTTTCCTGAAAATGAAATCAGCAGTACAGGCATCTAGATTCCCTTGAACCAACCATCTGAGGCTTGCTGACTGCTGGCTCTGTGCTCTTGTGGAGTTACTCCCCTCTCCCTCTCCCTCTTCCTCTCCCACACTCTTTTCACCAGCATGGGGCAAGCATGTTGGACAGGACAGGATGGCCCTGCACAGAGCTCAGTGCTGAGGGCAAGGGTGGCCTCAAGGCTTTTGTAAACATACACAGGGGCTGTTTGTGCTTCTGAGCAAACTCTCTCCCTGCTGACCCCAGAGTCCAGTAAAAGCTGCAGAGGGAACAAGGCCTGCTAATGACAGCACAAGACAGATAAGGCCACACACTCTGATCACAGATAGGCCTTGTTACTAATTAACGTTTACATAAGACAATTAACAAGACAAATAACGCCACACACTTTGATTACAGATAGGCCTTGTCACTAATTACGTTTACATAAGACAATTAACAAAATACATCAGTGTGAAATTTCTCTTTTAAAATGCCCTACAAAAACCATGCATTTTAAATGGTCAACCAAATGACCAAGTCCACAAATTGTTCTAAAGTCTTGCTGAGTGCCTCTCATGTCTAGCAGCTTAGCTGGTCTCTCAATGCCCCCAGGAGCTGAGAGATAGACAATTCTGTAATGTCCACAGGAGGACATGCAAACAGTAAAATATAGATCGGAAAAGTGTAGCTTCACAATGATTTAAGCAATACAAATAACTACGAAGTTTCATAGCTAATAAATTGACAAAATCCAGCTTGCAGCAGTAAACAGCTGCTTATCAGTGGAAAAGGACAAAGGATGCCTGAGACATCTCTGCTGATACTGCAAATCACCAGATACTGTAGCCTTTTTGGGGGCACAGTCATGCAATATGTGATAATAACCATAAAACTGTGACCCAGCAATTCCACCTTTGGAAACAGCCCCAAGGAGTTAGGACAAAGGCAGGAAAAGCAAATTTTTTATAAAGATGTATATTGAAGTTGCTCTCTACAAAAGGAGGACATGTAAGACAACCCTATCAACTAAAGGGTGCCTTAGCAAACCACAGTACGCAGGCACACCATGGAGTTCTGAGTGGCCACCAAACACTACCACTATGAACCAAGTCCATGCAGGGAATTTTATACGTGAGATAATAAGCGAAAGTAAGGAGAGAACATGATAGAATCAATACGTACTTGCAATAGATGAAAATGTATATGGGTAGACACAGATCACTTCAGGAGTGAATTAAGAATGGCATAAATAATTGGAATTTAGAGATTTTTGTAGTTGATGTTGTTGTTGTAAAGTTTAATCCAAAACAAATTTTAAATTTACAAAAAAAAAAGAGAGAGATACCTAGAGCTGTCTATGGACACTGAGTCGCACCCATGGCGAGTGCTGTGGGCCCAGGGCAGATGTTAGCTCAGGCAGGATTTCTCAACCTCAGCAGTACCGACATTTTGGGCCAGGTAATTCTTTGTTGTGGGGCTGTTCTGTGCATTGGAAGATAACTAGCAGCGTTGCTGGCTTCACCCACTAGATGCCAGCAGCACCCTCCCAAGGCCTGCACCCAGGCCTTGCCAAATGTCTGACGGTTGGGGGATGAGGGGCAAAATGACCTGGATGGAGAACCACTGGAGTAAGTGATAGCCACCCACTCTCTACCTTAGCTGTGGCCAGGGGACAGGAAGTTGTGAGGGCGGTGGGGGGGGGTGCCCTTCTAAAGGGGGCAGTCCCTACTGAGTTAGAAATCCAGAATGACAGAGTCTGATTTTTTTTTTTAATTAGCAGCTAATTCAAAGTTAATACACTTTGTGGGCCAACACAGTACAGCTGCAGCCTAATGTCTGTTGGCTATGCAGAAGTCAACTTTCTGTAAAGGGCCAGATGGGGAACATTTTAGGCTTGTGAGAGAAACTGTCATAACCACCCAGTTCTGCCTTTGTGGGGAGAAAGCAGCCATAGATGATACGTAAATGATGGGCGAGGCTATGTTCCAATTAAGATTCATTTATGGACACTGAAATTTGAATTCCACAGAATTTTCACATGTCATGAAACACTATTTTTTCTTTGATTTTATTTTCCAGACTTTAAAAATGTCAATATGGTTTTTGGCTGATGAACCCTACAAAAACAGGGCCCAGATATGGCCCGAGGGCAGGTTTGCCAACCCCTGGGCTGGAGCATGCCCACAGCAGCAGCAGCAGTAATGAGGGGCATGCTGGAAAGGGGACAGAACCCCCTGGGGTGGCCGGGCAGACCAGCACAGGCTTTCCTCAAACAAGGGAGGGACAGCAGTGGGGACCTACGCTGGCGCCTGCGCTGGCCACCTCTCCTGTCTCGCCTCTCCCCATCTCCTGCCTCTTTCAAAACCCCGCACAGTGTTTTCACACTGCTGCCTCCTGAGAAACCAGAACAAAGGCATCATCTTTTTTTTTTTAACCACAGATTGGCTTCTCTGCCATTCTTTTAAAATTTTCTGCTATTATTGTAAAAGAAAGACCATTAATAGGGCACTGTTTGCATGGTTCCCAGAGCCCTGGAAAACTCTTAACAGGAATTTTATCAGTTTTTAATGACCGCTAAAACACAAGTTTTCCTGTTTGTGTCCTCTCAACATCTATTTGATAACAGAGAAAATGCAGATGGCCCTCTCTGGCCACAGAGGCAGCCCAGGATGCTGGGGCTGGGGACAGTTCGTGACTCGATCCCAGGAAAGGAAGGTCACCAGTGGCCTCTGAGCTTTTAGGCCTGTGTCCTGTGACTCTGCCCTGGAGAGCAAAGTGTGTGGCCACTGAATAAGTGTTTCGAGTTCGTGGGAAAACTGCTCCTCTTCCTAGCAGGAAATGCTGATTCCTATAAACCACATCTAGAACAAAACAGACAGCCCCGATTTTCTTAGCCGTCAAAAGTAGCAAAAGTAAACACGGAAAATGATAAAAAGAAGCTGATGGCAAGGGGGAAGAAAATGAAAAGAAACAAGAAAAAGAAAAAAAAAAAAGGAAGAGTTAAGAAGATGCAAAGCTGCTGGGAGTGATGGAAAAAAGAAGCGGGAGATAGGAGGCAAGAAGGAAAGGGAAAAAAGAGAAGAAGAAATGCAACAGGAAGGGCCCAGAGTGTGACATTTGCAAATGTCCCTCAGAAGACACTTCGGGCTTTAATGAATGACTAAGGGAGGAGGAGAAGAGGACATCTTCATTTCTGAACCCACCCACGGGAGCCATTTGGGACCCCTTCTCTCTCCCTAGCCATCAAATTCTTGGATTTTAGAGTCAAGAGCCTCATCCAGCTGTGAGACAGACAAGACTGGGAGGACTTATTCCAGACACTCTCCTCTCCGACCCACCTCATACAGAATTTGAGAAGATCCCTCAGCTGGAGGTGGGCAGAGGGCCACAGGAAAGAGAGAACAGTTGTGGAGGACAAGGCTAGGACCTCCCTATAAGTTCACAAATCCAAAGGCAAGGGTGGGAAACGTCCCATCTGGAACTCGGGGGTAGAGGGCTCATAGAAGTGGTCAAGTCACAACATGGGGGCAGGGGGTAGGTATGGGGCAGGGAGACCCCGACCCCAGCATGGGAATCTGGTGCATCCCTTTTGTTTGGTCACTTTCTACTGTTCTGTAAACTAGGAGGGAAGACTTGCGGAGCGGGGATTGCTGCAGGCACTTGAGATTTAATGAGGAGACAGCTTTGGGGGAGAAGCCCCACCTGCCTGTGCCCATTGTGAGGATGCAGCAGTTGGCCGAGGAAAGTGGCAGGTGACCCAACAAGGGCACGTGGGGCCAAAGGAAGGTCCCAAGACTAGTGTTGGGCAGATATCAAATGAGAGACAAAACCATGCGGCTCCACTGAACATCCTCTGACGCTCAGAATCAGTCCCAGGGAGGACAGGGGCAACAAAATCCCAAATGTGACTGAGTGACAAACCCAAAGTGACTCAGAAAACACCAAATTGGGCTGCAGTTACTTCAAAATGTCAGGGGCTTGGGCTAGAAACTAATTTTAGGTATAGGAATAAAGTTGGCGGCTTGTGAAGTTCGTGCCTGCTATACAGGTACCAACTCCTCAAACTCTCCTAGAAAAAACACCGTCAGCCTTTGTGGCTGACAAATGCTGGGTTCACTGCACTCCCCACTCACTCGTTGCCTGGCCTCCCCTGATCTCACCAGGCTCTCAGTGACCACCCCCAACAGCCAGATGAGTCACAGCCACATGTCAGGAAGTCATCTGATGTCAGGGCAGGAGCCCAGCACCAGCTATCAGTTCTCGGGTCTCAGTAGCTGAATCCTGCCACCAGCACTTGGGCTAAAGGCTCCACGAATTGTCACAAGCTCCATGCTTAGCTGGGGCGAAGGTGGAGGAGTCCTGGTATAGAAGCAGTGAAGTTGCTAACCATTACGTAGTTCCCAGGCCCTGCTCTGCTGCTTCTGGGAAGAGGCCTTCAAAGGGTGTGTTCAGTAAGCATTCCTATGCTCTGAGCCAGCGAGACGGGCCAGAGTCCCTGTACAAAAGCCATTGCAGTGTTGGGTGCCTGTCTACTCCCAGGCCTGTGTGCAAGATAGAGGGGCAGCAAGGGCCTCCGGGAACTGTTTCCAGGGCTGTACAATGGCCTGGAGAGTGAGGCGGACCTGCCAGACCAGCCTAGAGTCCACTCCCCAGTGCCCTGATGAGCACCCCCTCACTCCTTGATTTACCAGCAGCCAACGTGGAGTGGACTAGGGGTGAAGAGTCCTAGGAGGGTGTGTTACTGCAGACACTTGAGATTTAATGAGGGTAATGAGAGCCTCAAGCACACCATCAGGAGGGCCACTCCACTTCCAACCCATACATAATCTCAAAAGTAAGATGTCAGGTCTACCTCAGAGGGAGAGCCCAGAGCTTAGGAGAGGCCAAAGTGAAAGGAGACTCTCCCTTCCCACCAGATCACCCAAGTGCCAACTAAATAAATGTCCTCTGGCATCAGGGAACTCTGAGGTGTAGCTCCAGCAAAGGCTGTGACCATGACCCAATTCCTAGGGAAGGCGAGATATATCCACCTCAGGGGTCCACTGTCCCTCCAAGTCAATCTATCAGAGGCCTCAGTGAGAGCTTACTATCTGAACAAAAGCAAACAAATTGGTTTTCCTCTGCAATGCACTCAGTCTTATCATCATCCCTTCTTCTTCTCAGGCAAGTTATATATCTGTGCCAACCAAGCTCAACCCAGGGGCATGCCAGACTTTCTCTAATACAAGCAGGATGGGAAGGCAGCCAAGGAAGCTCTTCTGGCCAAGTCTTGATATCCTCTCTCTGTAAGAGTCACTCTCACTGAGATGCAGAGAGATTCAAGCCATGGTGGCATCTAGACTTCTCTCTCGGTTTGGTCTGGAAGTTTTTCAGACACGAGAAATTCTCTGGTTGTTACCGAATTTTTCAAATATGGATTTGGTGCTCTTTCCTCACAGAGATGGTCTGGCCCTAAACTTGAAGCAGAAGAGAGAAGTTGCTCTTTGGCTTCTGAGCAGTTCCCTTCTGGCATTCCAGAACACAGGTATTGGGATTTTCCAGATGGAATCTCAGTTGAAATGGAGGGTTCCTTGAAATTTTTCCCAGAGGGGCAATAAGGTCTATAGGGAGAGGTCACATACTCATTCTTTTCCCCTCCCAAAATGTTTTCCTGACCCTTTCCAGGTTCCTCTGTGGAAACCTCTTCCAGAAAATTCTCAATATTCACCACTAACTTGTCAATAAGGTCACTGGGGGCAGAACATGGTTTTAGAATCCTCTCTTCGTCCGTGTTCACAGACTCATCAAATTCCTTCACATTTATCTTAGCCTAGAAAAGAGAAAGGGACACATCCAATAGTCACTTGGGGACTACATATGATTAGCCAAAATCTCACAAGGCTTGGGACACCCAATGCCCCACCTCTTAACCAGCCCACTACATTCCTCCCAGAGACCAGAAGTGGGGGCCAGTCACCTCCACATGCCCTTCCCTAGGAGCTTGGCAAATGTGGCCCATTTCCTGAGAAAGAACACACTGTATTCAAACAATTTCTTCTTCTAGGGAGCTCAAGGCTATTTTCCACAAAACCATATGCTCACAAAACCCCAGTGGAGATGGGAGCACCCAAATTAGAACTCTTACAGATGGAAAACCATAATCATAAAGACAATTGACTTGCCCAACATCACCAGAAAATCAAATGTGGCCCCATGACAGAGGCAGTGTCATCTTTGTCATCTTTGTAACGCCAGAGCCTAGCCTGGTGCCTGGTATACAGTGAGTGATTAATAAGTTCTTGCTGTAGAGGCCAAACCTACAGATTATTCAAAAAGCACTTTAGACATCAGACCATGCTGCCTTTGAATTCATTTACTCTCTTAATAACTTCTAATAAATAGGAAAGTAAATAGAGTAATATAAGACTGATAAAGGAGAAAAGACAATATAAGCAGAAATAACAAAAATCACAACTAAAATAAATAAATAAAAATAAAATGTCCATGTTAAAAAGAAACTTCTGAGTTGAAACAGAGGCTAATATTAAAAATTCCCTGGACCTAGTAGATATATACAGAGCATTCCATCCAAAAACCGAAGAATATACGTTCTTTTCAAATGCACATGGAACATTCTCCAGGATTGATCACATATTAGGCCACAAAACAAGTCTCCATAAATTTAAGAAGATTGAAATAATAC